GTTGGGGGCAATATGCTGACTCTGTAAACCGCTTAGAGAGGGCTGAAAGCCCTGTGAAGCGGTATATAAGTCTAACTGCTATTGCTATTGCTAAGAGCATCGACACCCCCCCACACCTTGTGAGAGTGGGACGCCTGCAATTCAGCGTGTTCTCCACAGGGGGGCGCATTTAGGAAGCCTAATGTTGAACCTCTGGAAGAGACTCACCTACAGCAGAATCCGGTGGCCCCTAAAATCTCCTGATCCGAGAATCCAGCTGCTGCAGGTGGTCCAGAACCCCGTGAGGGATCATTGGGTTCCACAACCTGGAAAGGGTTTTAAAAAGAGAAACATTAAAGGCAACTGGAATCCGGGGGTCTCCCTCCAAGGGATGCCACCACTGGCAGCTGCCACTGAGGGCAGGGGGGGGGGGGCTTTCTTGGTCCTCTGTGTCTGATGCGGGGGGGGGGCTTCCACTCTGCAGTCGGCCAGGAATTTGGGGGCGTCGCAGGCACCCCGGATTCTCCTGCCCATCGCCTCTTCCAAGAGGCACCTGTTGAATCCAGTGCAGTTCGAAGTGGCCCTTTGGGGTGTCCCCGAGATCACCAAGAAGCCCAAACTTACGCCAAGCTCCGGATGCCGGGGCATCTCCTCAAGTGCTCCGTCAGACACCGGGCTCCGGCGGCAGAAATCTGGTTGCAGTGCAGGCTGGGGGGGGGGGGGGGGGAGGGCAAAGGAGGCAGAGGCAGAATTACAGGGACCCCCTTTGCCAGAAACCCCCCTTGAGGCAGAGAGCCAAGGGCTCAGCGGGGGTGGGGGTCTTTCGGCACCCTTCCGGCTCTACACGGCCTCCTGGTATTTGGGGGTCTGGGTGGGGCACGTGGGGGGCAGAGTCCCTCCTCTTTTCCACCCCATTGAACGTCCAAGCAGCTGGGGTGACAGTGCAGTGGCTAAGGGGTGCCTGCATCAAGATTGGGGGGGGTAGCAGTCCTGTGCGAAAGTCTGACTCTCGGGAATAAAACCTCCCCCCCCCTCCCAGCTCTCAGCCACAGACCACAGCGCACTTACTCCAGCACCCGCAACGCACACATCTGGGGCAGCACCTCTGCCACGCGCTCCGCTCCCGCGTCCCCAATGTTGTTTTCGTACAAGCTGTGGGAGGCCAAGAGAGCATCTGAGCCAGACTCTTCTCATTCCCCCCCCCCGGAACTCTGTCGAGGGCCACGTAGGAGGCGGGGCAAGGAAGGAGACCCAGCCCCAGAGAGGGGGAAAGACCCTTTCCTAATCCCCCTTTGGTAGGCGGAGAGCAAGAGCCAGCTTTCTGATCTGCTCCTGGGGGGCATCCAGGGGGATCCAGGCTGCTGGTGTCTGGCACTGGCTGACTCACCTGAGGGTCTTCAGCGAACGCAGGGCGGGGAGGGCTCCGGCCAATAGCTCAGCGCCCTGGTCGGTGATCTTGTTCCGGGACAAGCTAGGGACAAAAGATGGTTAAATTCAGGATGTTTTAGGTGGAGGGGGGGTCCTCTCCCTCCGTGACCCGTCAAAAGCGCGGAGGACAAAATCGCGCTAGACGAAAGCGCGCATGTGACGTCACAGCGCGATGAAAAAAATTAAAAATTGAAATAAAATTAAAATTAAAGCAAGCCGATTCACATAAAGGTAAGGGTTAGGGTTAGGTTAAGGGTTAGTGTTAGGTTTAGCATTACGTTAACGGTTAGGTTTAGGGTTAGGTTTGGGGGGGTTAGGGTAAGGTTTTCGCTTTATTTTTACATTTTTCGATCACAGCGCGATGTTTTCGTCGCGCTGTGATGACGTCAAATGCGCGCTTTCGTCGAGCGCGATTTTGTCCTCCGCGGTTTTGTGGTGGAACCCTCTCCCTCCCTCTCTGGAATGTCCCATTACGGGAGGCTGGTGGGAGAGAGACCCCCACTCAGGGCAGCCGCTTCCTGAATGAATGTGATTATTATTTCCTGTTTTTAAAAAAATTCTGTTTATTAACCTGTCCCAAGAATTTTGGCTGTTAGGCGCTTTGTAACTCTGACGTGTTCCTGCCTGCGTACACAGAGAGCCTCCAAGTGACTCTCTGGGGGAGGCAATGGGGGTGGGGTGGGGGGGGCTCCCTTCTGTGACAGTTCTGGCTTCCTGCAACAGGGAGCTGCGGAACAATCGACTTACTTCAAGGTCTCCAGAGACGCCAAGCGAGGAAGGACGCGGGCGAGGGAGCCCACCCCTTTGTCTCCGATTTCGTTCTCATCAGGGGAATCCAAGCTGGGGAGAAACCAAGCCAGAACGGCTGCAGATCCTGCTTCATCCGGGGGAGTTTTGGGGAGGGGGGGGGACTCAGGCCAGGGGACCAAGGGGGCAAAGGTTGGGGGGCTTCCGTGGGACTTGGCTTTCCTTCCCAGGCTCGGAAGGGGCTGCCTACGGAGAAGCCCCTGGGGGCAGCTAGGTGTAAGGGTGTGGGGAGGGGGCCGGCAGGATTGGGAATAGCCCAGAAGCCCCTCTCAGCTCCTTCGTGGAGGGTCTTGCTTGCCAGGCCAATGTATCCTGGAGACCCAGAAGGGCAACCTTGATGGGGAGGGAAGGACCACCCTGGGAGTCCCCTCCCTCTTCCTGCGCTCCTGATGAGCTCAGAACTCAACTCGGTGCATCTGGCATCTGACAGAGAGACCCCCCCCCATGCCTCCCGCCCCCAATTAAAAGACCCTCCCAAGATGGAAGCTGGCTCAGGGAGGGGCCCTTTGGCTCACTTACTCCAAGTGCTGAAGAGCCGAGAAGGCGACCAAAGAATCCGCCAACTTTCGGAATCCCTCCAAGCCAGAGCTGGGCCCGAGGCTGCAAGGCAAGTGGAGGGTAGGTGGGTGCTGGGCTCCTGACCCACGGCCCTTCCTGCCCCCCTGCCAAGCCTGCCCTCCCCTTCTTCCTGTTGGCCTAGAAGTCCTCAACCTCCCTACGGCAGCTGACTGGCAGCCCAGGTGGGAAACCACGGAGGTTCTGAGGTAGACTGCCTCAGCACGAGGAGGTTCTGCTTCCAACTAGCTCCTGCTGCTCCCTTCTGCCCTGAAGGGCCACAGAGATGGACTCACCTGAATTCCAGTCGCAGGAGCCCAGCGATGGCTGGAATAAGGCGGGCGCTGGAACCCTCAGCGTCTTCCCTGCTGAACCCAAATGGGGTTGGGGGCAAAGAGGGTCAAGGCGTGAAGGGCCCAGAGGGCCTCTCCAGCTGCAGCTGCTTCCCTAAGCCAGCACCCTCCATCTTCACACCCCACCTTCAGCCACACCTGGGCAGGGGGGGGAGGCCACCTCTGGTCAAAGTCGCCCAAAGTTTCTCCTGCCGGTCAGACTGGGCCCCTCCCCTCCCCCCCCCATTCCCTGACCCCAAAGCCAGGCCTGGAGACAGCCGGGCTTTGGGGCTGCCTGCGTGGCACCCCTGTGGTGAGCCCCCTCACCCTTCCGCCATGTCTCTCTGCAGCTCCACCAGGCCGAGAAGGGCATCCACGTCCCCCGTCGTCTTGGCCCTGAAGGGCCCCACCAGGAACTTCTCCATGGCCGCCTGCAGTGCTTCCCTCTCCCGGACGTCCCACAGGTGCTTCCAGAGGGCCACGGCTTCCCCCAGGGAGACCCTGCAAGAGGAGACCCTGAAGTGGGAAGTGCCCCTCCCTCTCCCGCCGGGAGCGCCCGTCTCTCTCTCTCTCTCTCCTGCGGCAGCCAAGGGAGGTGGCATCGCCCAGGGCGGCTCTGGCCCTGATGGGCACACGGCCACGCTAGATGAAGCCAGGGCTGGTCTGGGCCCGAGGCTCCTTCCTAGGCACCGACAGCCTCCCTCACCTTCCCAGGCGGAGGATCGGTCCCCTCCCACCGTGACAGGCCTCAAAGTGAAGATCCTCCCAGTGGTTGCAAAGACAATGTTTAGGTGCCCACTCAGGTGACTGGGGGTCAACCAAGAGGCCTTCAGGTTAAGGCTAAATCCCACCGGGAGCCTTTTAGAAGCATTCCAGGCGTCCTTCCGGCCAGCTCATCGGCAGCCTCCTCCCCCAAGGCCGGCCCTACCTAGCCTCCCACCCAAGAGCCCTTTCACCCAAGAGCCCTTCCCTCCTAACATCTGGCCCTTGGTTCTCGTGACCCTCACCCAGACGCAACCCTCCAAAACCCTCAGCCAACCTGAACTTGGAGATGCTCTTCAGGCCAACCAGCTTCCTGAGCCCCTCCAGGGGAAGGCAGCTGCCCCTCAGGTCTACCGAGAAGGTCTTGGAGGACCTCCTCAGGATGGAGTGCAGGACGCTGACATCTGGCGGGGGCAGCGGGAAGCCCAAGAAAGAGAGGTCCGGCCCCAGCTCCAGGCTCACGTGCTTCAAGAGGTAGGGGTCTTCGGTCTCATGGACGCAGTGGAGCAGCTCCAGCAATTTCCCTGGACTGAAATCCCGAATGGGAAGTTTCCGGATGAATCTGGAGAGGCTCCTCTGCTTCCTGGCGACTGTCTTCTCCGCATCCAAGTCGCCTTCCTTGCCGAAGAGGAGGCGGCCGCTGAGCTCGTCCTTGGAGAAGAGCAGCCCAGACAGGAAACGGGGCACCAGGCCCCCCGAGGAGAGGAATTTCCTGACCCTGGCCCCCCAGCCCAGGTATTGGGTGAGCTTCTTGCCCTTCATCTCTTGGGAGAGAGCCAGGTGCAGGGCCAGCAGGAAATCCTGGACCGCGAAGCTGGAGAAGGCGCAGACGCCCCGCTGCTCCTCCATGAGCCCCGTTTTCAGCGCAAACTCCTTCACGGCTGCGGAAGGGAAGTGCCCGCTCAACAGGGCCCTTTGGCACCTCTGCCCGAGACACCAGGAGACCTCGGCCAAGGCAGCGATGCCCTGGCACCTCGAGACTCTGCCGTCTGTTGCCACGCTTGCCGCCTTCTGGAGGAGGTGGGTGACGAAGAGGCCGGTGAGGGTGGAGGGCAGCTCTCCCACCGTGGTCTCAAGCGCAGCCTGGCAGATGAACCGGCAGAGGCTGGGGTTGCCACAGTGGCTGAAGAGGTAAGGGGAGGCCCTGATCAGCTTCGCCTGCTGCTCCGCGTGGGCAGAGCCCTCCAAAGAGCGGGCCAGGCAGAGCGAGGCCTGCTCCGCGGAGAGGCCCACCACCTCCAGGACGGTGTCCACCCGTGGGAAGTACTGGGGGAGCCTCTCCTTGGGCCGCCCGGTCAGGAGGAGGGTGCAGCCGTTGAGCAGCTCCCGTTGGAAGAGGGGGCCCAAGGTGGCGCCAAGGCCGGGGGCTTCCCTGCAGGGCGGGCTCCCGGAAGCGGAGGGGGAGCCCTCGGGGTCCTTCAGGTCTCCCACGCCGTCAAACAGGAGGAGGACCCTTTCCGGCTTCCGCAGGAGGCTGGCGTAGGCGTCATCGAGGCCCTGGCAGGAGCCCCCCAGGGAGTCCGAGAGCAGGGACCTGAAGTCGGGGCAGGTGCCCTGCAGGAGGCTCAGCCTCCGGCAGTCGAACCGGAAGACAAAGTCGAACTGGGGCAGGAGGCCCTCGGCCCAGTCCAGGCAGACCTTCTGGACCAGCAGGCTTTTCCCCGTGCCGGCCTTCCCCAGCACCACGATGACCCTGCTGCCCGGCTCCTTTCTCCTGGCCGTCTGGAACAAGCGGCTTCTCTCCACGGAGGCCTTGCGCTTCTCTCCCAGGTGGCACCGCCTCAGGTCTGCGCTCCTCCCACCCCTGCTGTCCAGGTGGTGCTGCACCAAGTCCCTCTCCAGGTACAGGGGTCCCAGGGGCTGCCCAGGCCCCGAACGGCATTCTCTGCGGAAATGCTCCTTCAGCCCTTTGCAGAAAGCCCGGGGCGAGCCTGGAGGAGGAGGAGGAGCAGAGGGAGAGGGCCGAGGCTCAGCCAGGGGCAGCGGAGGAAGCCCTTCAGGGGCTCCCGGAGTCCCACATCCCGCTCTCAGGACTTCGGCTTCGGTGCTGCTCTGCCGGTCTTGGGGTCCCTTGGAGTCGGCCGGTGGGCAGGACGGACGGGAAGACTCACCTGGGCAGGTTGCTGCATCCGGAGGCCGGCAGGGCTGCGGGGCACTTTCGAAGGTGAAGATCATCTGGACGTTGCCCCTGTGGCGAGGGAGGCACCAGAGCTCCCCGCTTGCAGAGGGCCCTGGGGGGGAGAGAGAGAGAGAGAGAGGCGGAGGGTTGCTCCCGGCCCTCCTTCCTTCCCGCAGGAGAAGCGGGAACTGCGCCGGAGTCAACCAGGAATCCCGGCCCAGCCGGTCCAAGGGGGCTGGGGTCTCTGGACGAGCTTCCACGTACCAAGCGCTTCTGGGGATCTGCCCGCAGGCCCCACGGTGGCCACCAAAATTTGCACGTGGAACTCTGGTGGAGAGTCGGTGCCATCCTGGCCGGGGTTCAGCGGGAGGGCGAGGGGGTCCCTGTTTACAATGCACAGAGCCGGCGGGTGGGCTGCCAAAGAAAAGGGAGGTTAGGCAAGGTGGGCTCCCTCCCCTCCCCTCCCTCCCAGGCAGAGCAGGGAAATGGAAGCCCCTGGAGGCCCCCGTCCTCCGTTCAGTCAGCGCCAAAGACCGGAAGTTTCCCCTTTCATTTCCTTGCAGCCTTCAGAAGCACAGGACTTCCAAGTCAGTGGCTGGGGATGATGGGAGTTGGAGGGCTTGCCACTTTGTATGGAGGGAAGCACTCGGGGGGAGGGGGTGGAAGGCAGGAGTAACAAGGGCATCTTGGAAAGCCCCGGGGGGGAGGGGAAAGGTGNGCCCCGGGGGGGAGGGGAAAGGTGCACGGGGAGGGGGGGGCTTTTGAGAGGGGGAGGGGCTTGGGGCAGGGCTCCCCATCTCTGCACACCCCAGGTACTGCACGAGAAGCGCCCCCCCCCCCCCCGAGGGAGCAGCCCACTCACCCAGCCTCAGGCGCTTGGCTTCGGGGCCGTCCGAGGAAGGGCCTGCAGGGGGGGGGGGAGAAACCCTGGATGGAGGCCCTGCTTCTTTGGGCAGGGGGCTGGTCAAGGGTCTTGGCAGCCCTGCCCAACCCAGCTCCAGGCGGGGAGGATCTGCCGTCCTCTGGAGCTGAGCCGCCTCCGTCTTAATCCAGCGCCTGGAAGCTCCGGAGAGCCTCCCACTCCGGCTGCCCCTCTCACCTCGGCTCCTGGCCTCTGCGCAGCCCCCGGGCCCTTCGGCAGCCCCCCCATCCCAAAAGAGCCTTTCTGGCGAGGAAGAGAAGAGCGAGAGAGGACGATTAGCACGGGGGGGGGAAACCGATGGGAAAATAGGAAGGTGGGGGCAGACATCCCAGGATTAAGCAAAGCCCAAGGAGCCGGTTCTCATGAAGGACAGGAGGGAAGGAGGAGCCCTTTGCCCCAGGAGGCTCTCCTGTTTAGGCAGTGGCCACTCTCCCCCCCCCATAGGCCCCTCTTGACCCCGGGAAGGCCGGGCTCCTCCTGGGGATGCCCTGGAGGCAGAGCCGGGAAATCCGGGGCTCACCAAAATGTTCGTCCGCTGGAGCGTCTTGCTGGTCTTTCAGCAGATATTCAGCCAGGGCAGCTAAAGGTGGGAGGGGGGCAAGTGGGGGGGCGGGAGGGAAACATGGTTGGAACGTCAGGCACCACAAATCCTTTCCAAAGCGCAACCCCCCCCCCATCCAAGCCTTGTGCCACCCCCTTACATTCAGCTCCTGGAGGGGAGGGGCCCTTCACTGCCATGGAAAGGGGGAGGGGCGATGGCCCAAGCTGGCCTCCTGTCCTGCTGCACCCCCCCCCCCCAATGTCCTCAGTTGGGCGTCCCAGGGTGCCCTCTGGGCAGCTGGGCTCCTGAGTCGGGTGCAGCTGCTGCCCTGATTGGAGACGGGCATCGTTTCCCACCAGCTGCTCCTCCAAAGGTTGCGGGGCCCTCTGCCCCTCTGGGGTTGCCCTCCTCGCCCCCCCCCACTCGGCCGTCTGGGGTCCCAGCTGTGGTCTAAGGGAGGGGCCGGCCTCTGCTCGGATGTGCCCTCGGGCCGCTGACCCTCCAGGAGGGACCCACCGATTTTGTCGTAGGCCTCCCCCATGTCGGCGCAGAGGGAGAGGACTTCTCCGCTTTCGTCCCTCTCCACGGTGTAGAAGACCTCCGGGTTGTCCTGGTCGTCACTGGCCGCCTCGGACGCTTGGACTTGGCGGTGGGGGAAGAGAAGAGGCCATTGGTGACCCTTCTCTGGAGCTCTGCCCCACGGAGCTCCCTGCCCTCCTCCACCTCCCCCAGCAACTGCGGAAGGAAAGGGGGGCCAAGCACCTGCAGGGGCCTCCTCCATCTCATCCATCGACGCCGGGTGGGCCTCGCTCTGCAGGCAGGGGGTCTCCGGTGGGATCCCTCCAGGGCTCACCTCATCTGGGGCGGGAGCGGCTGGGGAGAAAAAGGGGGTGACGCTCTGAAGAAGGCGGGGGAGGGCGCTGCTTTGAGGAGATCCCACCAGCTGCTTTGGGGAGAAATGATTAAATTCCACTTTTCTTTCCTCCCCTTTACGCCTGGGGTCTCTTTCCCAAGAACTGGGGAGAAGATGCTCTGAAGGAAAACGGCATTTGGGGGGGATTTTTGCAGGAAAAGGGACGCAGGGACGTGGCTGATCCAGGCTTTGCTTTTTTGGGGTTTACTGAATAAACCCCAACCAGATATCCGCCTTCCCAGTGAGGCTCTAAGCTATAAAACAGAGCCTGCAAGTTGTCTGGGATCAGTTTATTGAGCCTCTGAGGGACCCCCCAGGTGGGAAACACGTGTGTCCCACCTGCAGAATGCAGCCCCAGGCACTGTTCTACACCCCTCCTTTTGGCCCTGAGTGGCTCAAAGGAAAAACCTCACAGCTGCATCGGTCAGAAAAGGAGAACAGAAAGTGGGCTCAGATCTTCTGCCTTCTATAAATATCTGGGGGGAAAGGGAGAGGGGGGGGGCGACTCCAGCGTGGCTCAAACAAAAGTCAAAGAGGGCAAGAAAACATCCCATCTCCTTGGGAGACCCCCCCTCCCAAAAGAAGGAGAGCTGTGCCATTCATAGCAATCTCAAAGTTTCCTCTGATTCGCGCTTGCAGTTGTAACCCTGGGGTCTCTGACAGGATGGGGTGAAGAGCAGAGGGTGAACCACTCCCCCCCCGGAAAGACACGCAGGAGTAGCGGCTGGGGGGGGGGCAGCCTTGAGCTCCTTTCAAACCCCCAGGTCTAGCCAAGCTTGCCAGAGTCAAAATGTTTTGGTCAGCTGCACCGAGCGAGCCTCCGGCCGGCCCGAAACTCTAGACTGAAAAGTGAACCACGTTTCTCCTGTTGCCTTCCTTGACGAAGAACAAGGGCAGCTCACTGCACACACAGATCAGGGATTCTCCCCGAGACAGAGCTGCGAGCCCCCCCCCCCCGCAATACCCAGCCTTTAACAGGGGAGGGGGCTTCCCCTTCTGCTCTCCCCCCCCTGAGGATTTGAGGGCAGGGCCAGCTTGCCCTCTCCAGGGTCACTGGATCTCTCTCCACCAGCAACGCCACCGGCTAACCTGGATGGCATCGATGAAGCGGGGGAGAGGGGGGGGGGCTTCCCACAGTGCCTTTCTCACACTCTGGTTGGCAAAGGAGCCGCAGGAGAACAGGTTGGGAAGCCAGAAGCAGAGAAATGAGACTCTCAGGGTGCAAGAGGGGGGGGAAAAAAACCAACCTTGCAGGAAACTTTCAAACCATCCTTTCTGCAAAAGGGCTGGCATGGCGAGTTCCGGATGATAAGCCATCCTGGATGCCCCTGGGCAAAGTGGCCAGGCTGCCAGTGCTTTTATCTTGCCGCAGGTGACTGCCCGTAAACGGGAGGAAAATCCCAGCAGGGGAGGGAGGAGGAATTCCCCTCCGTTTCAAAACTCTGGTTTCAAAAACAATCCATGTCGAGAGCTTCGAGGTTGGCAGCTCCCTTCCCTGAGAAGAGATGCCTGCCTGGCTGATTCCCCGGCTTCCTCCTCCGCCCGACCCCCCCCCACCCTCCCTGCAGGGCCCAGGTACCTACCGTCCAGGTGGCCCCACACACACTACTTCAGGCTGATGCGGAGGAGAGCGTGACTCCAATGTGCTCCTCACTTGCTTTCTGTGTGCAACTGACACGCCAGAAGTGAAAGTGGGCTCCGGTTTCATTCTCTCCTCTCTGTGACTCTGACTCTATTGGGCCCACCCACTCACCTCTTTGAACTCTCCAGAGTCTCCCCGTGGCTCCTGGGGCTGCTCCTCCCACCCATGGCCCTTCCACGCAGGACAGTTCGGCCTCCTCGAGGGCGGCCAGTCTGAACGCTGGCACCAAGACGACTGCACGGGCATCAGTGCTCAGGGGAGCCCGGGGATGGCGAGGGCTGAGCTGGCAGCCGGCCCAGATCATCTCACGGGCGGCGGCTGTGGGACCCCCAAAGCCAGGCCCCAGGGGACCAGATCCCCCAGAATGGGACGGGTCAGGCGGAGGATGGAGTTAGCTGGTGCCCTGGACTCCAATTCCCATCGTCCTGTCATCCAGCACATTAGTCTGTCTCAAATTAATTTGTTTTTTTTTAATGGTTTCAAGATTTTAAAACGAGGTTCTAAAATGTCCCCCTGCCCTATTTATGACATTAAATTGAAGCTCGACAATGTTTAAAAGGTCAGATCCAAAAAGGCAGTTGGCAAAATCTATGGAGAAAAAGCCCCTCACCCGTTTAATCCTCAAAAGGGATAAATCCTACCGATCAGGCGGATGGACGGGAGAATTCATTGATCTTTGAGTGAAATTTAAATTCGTGCCAGGTCTAAGTGCCCACCTGTCTGTCTCTCTGTTTGAGATACACAGCCAGGGAAGTTATCCAACTGGCCAGGAAGGAGGGTCTCCTTGGAGGGGGGCTTCATTCCCTTCCCACAGACATCCTGGGAAATCTGAGGATCATAGGACATTAGCCAAGCTTACCGGTCCAGTTTCTAGTCCTCAGTGAGACCGCTCCGTTCTTAGCAGGTCCTCTAGCATTGCCGGAAAGCTGCAAGGGGGGGAGGCGGCTGTGGGGATCCGAAGGCCCGGCCCGTTTCCCAAGCAGGGTCAGAGCGAGCTTCCTTGCCAGGTCATCGGTGTCTTTTTCATCCAGCAAAGTCTGATAATATTCCCGGGAGAGGATCCCTTCGCTCAGCATGGAGTCCAGGAAGGTTTGGAGCTGCGGGGCCGAAGCAGTTAATAAAACCTCCCGCACTTCGGGCAGGATCTGCTTGAAAAGGTCCATTTGGGCAGGGAGGAGAACTTGGGTTTCTCCGAACAATTTCTGCGGCACTTCCCTGTTTTTATAATTATTTATACGGCGGACGCATCTTTCAAAAAAGATGAAGTGAAAAAAGGAAAACTAGCGGAGGCTTTGATTTGGGGAATCATCACTAATGTTTCCTCATTTCGTGGAAGGCCTGACAGCCTCTTCCGAGGATGCCGCCCCCCCCCTATTTCCCCCCCCCCCCCGGTTTTAACCATTTCTAAAAACGAATCTTAGCCATGATGGACGGATTGCTCAGTTGCAGTTAATAGCAAAACTTCACAGGGCAGGTGGGAAGGTTTTATTTCTATTTTTGAAAAAAAACCAAGAGTGGGAAATTCACCCAAACGGTTGATAGACTCAAATAGAGACTTTGTTTGGGGGGGGGGGGGGGAGCAGCGTCTTGCTTGTGAAATTACACATTTAACTTCATGGGCCTATTTGCAGTTTCTGGACCCTCCAACAGCAGAGTGGGGGGGTGTTTTGCCCCCTCCCTTTAATTCACCCCAAGAGACGCCAGAACTGCAGCAGTGGGATCCGGGGGGGGGAGGGGCTGGTAGAGACCCCCAGGGAGATGGGGGTGCGTTCCCCCCCCCAGCACAAGTGGCTGAAGCGGACACAGGCTGATGGGAGCTCTGTGACGCTTCTCCAGGGGGGAGGGAGGGGGGCACTCCCCCCCAGGCGAAGAAACGGGCACCACGGAGGCTGCCTGGGCTTTTAGTCCCGGGATGAAGCTTCCTGCAGCCGGGGCAGACGCTGCTGAGGCTTGGGGTGCATCCCGGGGTTCCCCCGACCCAAAGCTGGGAGGGCAGCTCAACAGCGCCCAGGGCAGGAAGGGGAGAAGTGGGCTCCCCACTGTGCGCTAGCCCTGGCGGCTCCCCCTCTGGGTTCACCTGCAACCACACGGGAGGCTCCTCGGGGGCGGCCCCCACATCACCTGGGGGCGTTTCTGCCTCAGAGGGCAGCCGGCCAGCAAAAACACCTCCTGAAAGGCGAACCCGTCTGGCGGGCGTGTCTCCTAACAACCCAGGGGAATTCCAGTTGCTCAGCTCTGCAAATGCCCGTCCCATGCGGACAGAATGCTGCCTTTACGAAGCTTGGGGGGCTGGGGGGTGGGCTAGGAGCCCCTTGCCCCTTATGCCCGCGTCTTCTGCTGCAGATTTTCAGGCCAGGATTGGCATTTCGGGCTGCATTTCAGCTGGTGAAGTTGCATTAGCTCCTTGGATGCCATGAAGGGCAGGTTAAGTGGAAAACCTCACTAAACAGCTCAGGGCAGGGCTCCGAAATTGGGAGGCCCGAAAGAGCAACCCACACCGGGGGGGGGGGACGGGGACTTTGGCCCGTCACCCAGGAGCTGCCCAAACCCAGGCCGTCTCTGGGCCAACCTGCTCCTGGCCGCCTGGGCACCAGCATCCCTGCTCTGGTCGCCATAGCAACGGCCAGGAGGAGCCAGGATGCTGGGTGGATCCTGCTCACATCCGCAGAGGCCGGAGGAGGAGGAGGAAGAGGAGACGGGGCCAAGAAGATGAAGCAGGTGGGGGAGAAGGGTTGGGGGAGGGGAGGGAAACCGGGGTATTATGGGCTGGCTTTGGATTGGCAGGATGCACCAGGCTGTGTGTACAGCGGGGGGGGAGAGGATTCCCTGCACAAGGGGGTCTGGGAGCGTCTTGGGTACCGAGCGCAGAAACAGCGGAGACC